TATCCTCACCCAGAATAATACCAGATGTATGTAAATGTAGTCGTCAAATGTGTCACAAAAAAAGTGGTAGAGCTATTCCTGAAACCATCAGGTCTACTGCTTTCAACCATCCTATATGATGTAAAGTTAGCATATTTTCCAAGTGCCATCATGTAAGCACCGTCAATATACATGTATCAATATATCGATATTCTTGATATGAGTTTGATATTGATATTGCCGATGTTAGTTATTTGGTAAGATCGATATATCAAAAATATCAGATTTTGGAGAAATATCTAAAATATTGAAAATTTGAAAATGTTAATATTGAAAAATATATTGAAAATGTCGCTGCTGAGGAATGAACTCTATTAAAAAAGTGCATTGTCACATTACCATAATTTTCGATTAGTTACAGCTTACGTTGGTTCTCACGCCGAGTGAAAAATATCCCTGTAGCTACTCTGAGCAGCTTGTACGGCGACATTTGAAGAATAAATTTCCCGTATACATGTACTTTGCCTAGAAAATATCACAAAATTTATCCTCCAAAACAGAGAATTATTTGCTCAGCAAACGTATGTAGACTAGCATCACATGCTGATGATATCGCTAAGCACGGCAGCGTGTATCCCATCCCATGTAGGCAATGTATACAATATGGACACTAGAACATGTCGACAAAGTGAATTGGATCACACCATTAGTTGTAGGGGTGTACCCTTAGAACAATTTATCAGCAATTCAGGCCTGTTATAATGCATGTTCCTTGAAAAATAAAACTACCATGCTTACTGTGACTATAGAGAGTTCCATTGCTGAAGCCCCTGTACATACATGCACACTGTAGTTGGTAGTTTGTTAGAGATTGAAGGGTGGGTCTTGTTGGCACGTTTACTGGACAAATGGGTGCTTAAAAATCACTCAGAAGGACACAAGCTTGGGTTCACGAGTGCTCCTCCATCTGACACATTGCTGAAACCAACTCCTATTCTTCACAAGAAGTCTAAATGACAAACTTAGGAGGCCAAGATGAAGACTCTACTGCAGAAGAAGACTTCTTACCAGTTCCACACAGCAAGATGAACACTAGTTTCCTGTCCACCCTTTTCCTCACCCCAAATAAAAAACACACAACAGGCTCTGTATCAAAGCAAAATATTTTATGGTAGCATTAGGCCCATTCCCAACATACATGTATTTTGTGAAAATAAAAGTGAGAAATATTAACAGGGGCCAAAACTAGTAATTTTGTCCAAAGCTCTTTTTATGAGCATCAGTTTGTGTACTTTTTGGTTTGACTTTTTAAGGCCTAAAACAAAGAATCAAAACCTTTTCTGAAATTTCCAAGATTTGGCTGTGCCAGGGAGCGGTGTGAAAGTTTCAGATTTGTTGACATTTTATGCAAGATTCTTTCCTTTTCCCAACTGGATGAGTTTGCATGTCGACCAAAACTCAACACTGATGGCGTTACTTCCCACATTAATCGTATGCCTTTATGGGCGTAATATTGTAATTGAGTGCTTTGAAAATGAAAAACAAAGAAAGAAGTATATTGAGTTCACAAGAAGTTCATCATTGAAATTGAAATCTTTTTACCCTTAAAACATTGCAAGGAGACCTACATGTACAAATTCACAGTGAATAGCCCTGTTGTACTATACATGTACATGCGAACTACATGTACTCTGCCATGCTAATATATGTCAGCATATACGTAGGTGCTGTACATGTACGTAAGGAACTGGCCATTTATGGTGCCATGCACAGTACCTTGCCGGATCAGTTTTGTACAATTCATAGATTGTGCCAGCTGCACAGATAGTGTGTAAAACAACTCACTCAAGTCAAACAAAAGCAATCCTTTTTAGTCAAGGAGGACATTACATCATCACGGAACATGTATGCTACAGGGATACACATGTATGCTAAATGTATGCTAAATTTGACTATAGTGTGCAACTGCCCAATTGTCCCTGGATTTAAATTTGTGATATAAATCAAGGTGCCTTTTGACAAGATTCAAGGGATAAGCCAGAAAGGAAGATGGGAAAGGCAAAGTTTCTGTAAGAAGTGGGCTTAGGGGGTGGATCCAGCTTCGGGTGCAAATTCAAAAGAGAAGTGTGGTTTTGAACTCATTAAATATGATGTTGGGGACACAAATTAAAGCCTTACTCTTGGTCCCAACATCCTTGCCTTTATTTGTTGGTGTTGTTTTCTTAGGGTTTTGTGGCTAATATATGATTGGAAGACACCAAAACACTTTCTCTCTCACTCACCTAGGATGTGTTCTGTGTATAAAAAAAAGAAAGAGAAAAGTTGACGTCACACTGATTGAGCCCTTACATGTATGGAATGTGTACAAGGAGTACAAGGGACCAGTCAACCTGGCATAGGTGCAATGGAAGGCAATCAGGGCCCTGGTGATCATGGCTGGGAAAGGTGATTGACCTATATCATAACCAACCATTTTAGTTTTATGCCTTTGAAACAGTTTTAACAACTCCCCCTCCCAAAAAAGGAGCTTTAAAACAGTAGCAAAGACCGTAGAAATGGAAAATAAAAATGTATGTGTGTATGTGTATAATTATATTAAAGGGCGAGGAGCCCTCTGACTATGAAAGTAATCGAAGATTAGCTCTGTGAGAACAGGTGAGGGGTAAACGAATTGCCCAAAAGGGAGAGCAAACAAAGTTTGGCTCGGCAGAAAAGCCAGGAGACTGAAGAAAAGAAGAATAAGCCCCGTAGCTATAATAAAGAAAAGCAAAGACAAGCTCGCCAAAGGAAAGGCTGGAGCAGGGAAAAGTCAGGGGAAATCCCAGCAAAACTGGGAAATGCCCTCCAAAATGTTGGCTTCTCTTCCAAATCTCTGACTCCATTACTTTGAAGTTACTGGTTAAAAGGGCAATATGCCCCGTTTGCTTTGAAGGCATGCTTAGAGTCACTCACCAATTGACGGGAGCAAAGTAAAAGGGGAATGAGGCCTTAGAAATGGGTTTTTACAGAAAGAAATTGCATTTGACAAATAAGTCGAGCAGGGTGAGACGGGGGTGAGTGAGGGATGGGTGAGATATGGGAGAGCCCAGGCAGGAAAGAGGGTTATGCCCACGTTACAAAGGAGCAAAGGGATGGAAGGTTGAGGGGATTTGAAAGTTGGAGCAAAGAATCTTTCTGCCCATACCTCAGACTAAAGACTATGGAGCCCGAACAAAGCGGCGATGCAAATAGATTACTAATCTTCAATTTCTTTACACTTTTTGTTGGGTTAACTGACTGCATTCTTAATTATTCCCACAAAACAAAATCACCCCCCCCCAAAGTAATTTTTCTGATGTCTGCTTGCAGCCATTTTTCAAGTGGCAACCCGCAGCCACCCTCCACTTTCGTGGCATTTTTAACCATATTTTTTGCCATTCTGCTCTCAAATGAAAGCCCAGAGACCCAGGGGATTGATCCTGGCAAACATTTACACAATCTCACCATTTTGGGGGCCAGACAATCTCCTTTTTCAAAAGTTACCGTGGGGGCACTTTTAACCCTAATGAGCTGACCAGAAATTCTCACTTGAATTAGTACCTACATGTATACTGCACCTGAGAGCTACATGTACGTGATACAGTTCTGATGCACTTATTGTGAAGGAAAATTATTTCCCAAGTGTGTATTGCATTTCTGGTGTACTGAAGAGGAAAATATTTACCTTTACATTATTGTGTGGTGTACATGTATTGCTGGTGTCCTCAGCAAGTAAATAAAGATTAAGTGGTGCAGATCTGGTGCAGTTATGTGGGGACTGATTGTTTCTAGTGTAGTTCTGGTCAAAGTGTGTGTGGTGCACTTTGGTGCTATTACGTACATTTATTTATTAGTTGTGAGGTATTCTACTGGTGTACAGCATCAGAGAGATACTAGATGTGTACACCTCAGTTCAGTGAGAGGGTCCTTTGATTTTGTCTATGTATGTTTTTTTGTACATTTTGCCCCATTTTCTTGTACAGTTTTCAGGGTTCTGCCCAGGATGGTTTTAGTGCCGGCAGGACTATCTAAGCGGAGCGCCACCATCGGTTGGCGCGGAGCGTCCCAGAAAATTTTTGGAATCTAAAAGCCCCCAGATGGCCGGAAACAGTACTTTCTGGGTGTTTTCAGCTGTGTATACGCAGCCTAGAATTAGGGATCTCATGTCCGAAATTTCTGAAATTTAATAAAAAAATTGAAAATTTGTAATTTTGGTCAACTAGGATGAGGTGATAATTTTAGACGGGCAATTGAATTAGAAAAAAGAGTAGAAATAAATATTGATTTTATTCTGTAAATCCCTTAAATATTGAATTAATGAATTAAATCTCTATGATACCCATAATTTTTCATTGCTATTCAAATCGGTTTTTTTGTGTGTTGAAAATAAGGCGAAACATGCAAAATCTTGGCGGAATATTTTCCTTATTTTCTTTGTACGAAAGTTCGTACAGTATGCATATGGGATAATGACATTCATAAATGTGTGCAGGGATTTTCTGAACAGTCATTTTAAAGTCTGCA